ATCCCACGTAGACACCCCAAAAGCTTATAGCTTCGACTTTTATATACATCTTGCTTCAATATATTGTCATATTTCTCCAATTTATAAATATTTTTATATAAATTAATAAATTTCAAACTAAATATTCAACATTTTTTCTTGTGTTCTCATTAACAAAAATTTTATTTCGATATTTTTAAATATTTTCGTTTTTAAATTTAATATTTTTTTTAAAAGAAAAACTTTACATATTGATTATTACTATTTTATGTATTTTCATGACAAAATATTTAGAAAAGTTCCAAATCTTCAAATATTTATTTTTATTTTCATATGTTGCTTTTTCCCATTTTACAAAAATCTAAAATATAGAAAATTTATATAATCTAAAGAAAAGTTAATTAATGAGATGTCTATTTGCGATTGGTCGTTTAAAATCCCACGTGGACGGCCTTAGGAGCTTATAGCCTCGACTTTTATATAGTATAGATTTTTGGTATTTCTAAGAGCATATGCAAGGGGGGAACACTTGGTGTGTTCTTAAGGGTTTTAAAATAATAAAAATGTTGAATAATGGATACAACTGTTCTTAAAATTATAAAAACTGTTCTTCAGGAAGAACAGTTTGCAGGATAAGTTAGAACTGTTCTACCACTGTTCACCTTATTTCCTATTTTTAAATCCTAAGAACACACTCAAAAGTTCCCCCCTTGCATATGGTCTAAGAATAAAATGAGAATATCTTAAGGAAATAGTCTTCCAATGGTTAAGAACCAATAGGTATTGGTTCTTAAGAAAAAAAAATCAAATTTTTTTATTTAGATGTCTTCCAATACAAGGAACCATACAAGCATTCACATGCATTCATAGAAACAATGAGAAGATGTACAAGCATTCATATACCAAAACAATTCGGAGAAGATAGTGAAACAAAATTACCACTTTCACAATAGCTTTGGTTCCAATGCTTGCTTTGTATAGAACAGAGAGACCTATATATTGCTTCCTTTGAAAAAGAACAGAGAGACCAAACCTGAAAAACAAACATGATAATCTACTTAAAGAAGTCTTAACCTAATATTAATCAAACAATCTACTTCAAGCAATCACATCTGAATCACAAAGGAAGCCATCAACTTCGACACTGTGAACAGATAACATCAAAAGAGGAATGATCAATTACAAAGATTACAACCAAATTTTAGAAATCTATAATAGAAGCAGAGATCTAGATTCGTCTACTTCTCAAGGAAACAGAGGAATGGATGCAAAATAGAGAGAAAAAGCATTAAACTTTAGGTTCTCAATTCTTTTATACTAAAATTTCTATCACAACAAAACCTTTTAATAGCAATCTGAGTGATCAACAAAATCAAACTCCATAAGAACTTCTACAGAACCTTCCTATCGCAATTTGTAGAAAATCTTGAATAGATGCAAAACAGAGACAATAAGAGAAGCTTAATTCATGCAGGAGTCCAATATCTATCACACCATGGTTTAACCCCATCGTTTGATGCGTCGTCATAACCATCATCGGGTATCTCGCACCATGGTCTGTCCTCTTCTTGGTGCTCTTCCTCATGGTCAGAGTAAGGTATTTCGCACCATGGCCTATTTTCTTGGTGTGGCTCCTCTTCTTCGGACTCACACCATGATTTTTCTCCATAGGGCTCGTCGGCATTGCTTTCTTGGTCAGTCTCTCCTCTGTACCAACCATGGTGGCTCTTGGTGTCTTGGGCTGGGTCTGGTGGTTCGGGTTCACGTTCTTCTCCATCTGGTTCATATCCAAATTCTGAACTAGAGTAATCCTCACACCATGATCGTCCTTCATAGCCATCATCTTCTCCAGTTAAGCTTTGGCTTTTATCTTCCTCACCTTGCCAATCAGCCTCGTAGGTGTAATTCTCGTCCTCTGACTCCATTATCACTTCTAAATTTTAGGGGCATACCTCACAAACACAAAGAAGGAAAAGTGTGTCAAAGAGTAGTTCAAAAAATATGGCAAGAACAATAATTATAAACAAAAATAAGAAAATAAAAATTTTATTTTGCTTTTCTTTTCTTTTTTTGAATCAAAATCGAAAATATAAAGGAAAAACAATTTTTATTTCTCTTTTCTGATTTTATAAAAATAATATTACGAAAACTAATAAAAATATGATTTTTATGGATTTTTCTTATAATAATTATAAAATAAATAATAAACTGAAGAAAATAATTTTTTTATTTTAGTGAAAGTACTGAAGCAAATAAACAATAACAAAGCAAGAAACAAAATTTTTATTTGGTCTTCAAATTTATAAAAATTAAATAATAAAACTTTAAAAATCGAAAAAGATATAGGTTGAAGATATATAACCTTGGGGATAGGAGGTTTTGAAGCTCTAATACAAGATTGGAATCACTCCAACTTTAGATCACTTGATGATCAAGAGATTCCAAGCTTTTCACGCGGAATAGTGGAATTCACGAGCTGGCTCTAAAGCACTCTCTAGTGAATCAAGGAGTGGTACGATGGATAGATGTGGTGATTGACTCGCTCAATCAGTGGGATAATCGACTCACTCGATCAATGAACAAATAAAAGATGTTGAATCACTCAAGAAATTCAATCCACAGGTTTCTAAAGTACTAAGTGACTCACTCACAAAGAACTAAAGAACAAAAAGACAAAGACTTAAACTTTGACAAGAAAAAACGTTTCTATTACTTTAAAATGATCAAGGGTGATTTACAATGAGACTAATGATCAGCTTATATAGGCTGAGTACAAACGTTCTAAAAGTTAAACAAAGAAACAAATCACAATATTAAAAGAAAATATGGTCGTTGGGCCATTAAATGTAAAATCGGTCCAAATAAGGCAAGTGAGGTATGCCTTGTATCTTGTCAACTTGGGGAGGAAGTTGTGACGTCTTGGAAGCTTCTGGAAGGTCTCAAGATTCTCACACAAGCGCACAAACAAAGAAGGAAAGAGCTGTTGCAAGTTAATCTCCTTCGGCTCCATATATGGCAAGTAGTAACTCTGCGGGTTCTTGTGTGGTAAGGTGTACCAAAGTTCATGTGGTACATATCTTGTGTGGCCTAGATGTTCTCCTGGTTTCCATATGTAGCTTTGAGGTGCGTCCAAGTGTAGAATAAGGAAGCTTTCCTTGTTTGGCTTCATTTGGCGCAGTACTTCAGAAAGTAGTTCAGCGAGTAGTTCAGCCGGTCCGTCAGCAAGTATATCAGCTATATGTACTTGTAACATCTTCGAATCAATTGCTTGGTGAATGATTCCTTGATGACTTGATGTTGCCTCGTTAAAAACCTTCCTAGGTAAACCCATTGGGACAAACCCTAGATAAGAGAAAAAGAGTGCAACGGTCAAATTTCCACAACAAGGTAATTCGGCTCGGTGGTCTTTGATTCCTCTTGAACTATCGTTAGTCTTCTTAGGGTTAATTTGGTGGAGAATAATTAACCCTAGGCCTTGTGCTTGATTAATTAGGACTCCATTTGGGTAAGAATCCTCCAAAATGCTACATATCAACCGGTTTGATACATGTACCGGTTGGTTTGGTATACTCCCGGTTTGGTTTGGTTTGGATGTCCACATCATCGAAGTAGTGAGACTCGGTGGTGATGCCCGACGAAGGTGAGAAATAGTGATATGGAAAAAGAAAAAAGTATGGTGGTGAAGAAATCCAACGAGAGAGAGAAAAAGAAAAAGAAAGAGGAGATCGAGCAAAAATAAGAGAAATCTAATGAGAGAAAAAGAGAGATTTGAGATTTCTCGCCGGCGAGAGGAAAGAAAAAAGAGACAACGAAGAACTCATGAGTAATATGGGCCAAAAATTGACAAAAACCATATAGCAAATAGACATTGTTTAGTTAATATTATTTTCGTAATTTATTTAGTGCATATTCCCTAATTCCTTATGAATTTGTCTTTTTGTTTTGAGGATTTCTCATATTATCAAGTAAAGTTAAATGATGTGGATATAGACTGACTCATATTGTTACAATTTTGTTTCCATCTTGTCCACATTGAAATTAGAAAGTGTTATACACTCCTCCGATGGATGTAGATGATTTATTAAAATTCAATAATACACATATGAACATTTATTAAATATTATACTGTCACATATAATAAACAAAACTACAAATAGTATTTTATATTGCACATTATGCATAATTAATCTATATTTTAAAATAATTAAAATACTATATTTTCTAAAATTAAAACATATTTTTATATAATTTTAGTTAAACTTATAAAAATAAAAAGGTTTTATTTTAGGACATAACACTTTAAATTCCAGCGGATAAAAATAAATAATTTACTGAAAATTTTGGGTGAAAACGAGTTCTCTGATTGGATGTATTATTTCCTCCAGGATTGTGGGAAAGGAACGGTGAGGATGCAAAGCAAATCTAAAATCCAGTGGACCAGATCGCTTGAAAGAAAGACAAATCCCTAAATTTCTATTTTGTCAGCCTCTTATTAGACTATCTACAATGTAGGTGTTGAATTATTTATTCAACTGTTGAATCTCCACATTGCATCTGTTGAATAATTTAAAAACCTTACGTGAATTCAACTTGGTTGAAAGTATTCAACATGTTGAAAAGAAAATTTTTGGGTCCGTGCATGCCACGTGTCAATAAGTGAGTGGGAGGTGTGTTTCAAACTCGGGGAAAAGAGAGTGTACTCTCTAAAACCTTTTTTTTTTTTTTCTTTTTTCGAAAAAAGAAGAAATTTTTTAGATGCTGACACTTGCTATATTTTCATTGGATATTGAGATTTTAGAGATTTTTATTTCATATTATCTATTTACAATCAATTATTACATACCAAACGAACTTTAAAAAAAAAAATATTTATATGAAAATTTATAACTTTTTAAACTCTATAAATAAAGACTTGGTTCATTTCATTTGGACACATAAAAAAAAAAACACAATTTCTACCATAATTTTCTTATTCTTCTCCCATAAACGCATGGTTATATCCTTAATTTTTTTTGAAATGGATTCTAATAATAATCCTATGCAAAATTCTACTAATTTTCCTTTTCCCTATCCAAATTTCAACAATAATCCTACGCAAAATTCTACTAATTACCCTTTTCCCTATCCAAATCCCAACAATTATCAATTTCAAAATCCATCTTTCAACCAACCTCAAAATTTCAAAATCCATCTTTCAACCAACCTCAAAATCCCTACGGCGTGGGAAGGTCAATTTACTCGAGGCGATAAGGGAACCACCACTGTTATTCTTGAAGCAGTGGCATCTCATGATCTATGGATCTGGCATGCTTTTTTTGGATGTCCCGGCACCTTGAACGATATAAACGTTCTAGACCGTTCACCGGTTTTTGATGATGTTGAACAGGGAAATACTCCAAGAGTCAAATTCTTCGTGAACCAACGTCGATATGATATGGCATACTATCTAGCTGACGGTATTTATCCTTCTTATCCCACTTTTGTTAAATCGATTACGCTGCCTCAAAGTGAACAAGACAAGTTATTTGCACAACGTCAGGAGGGATGTCGCAAGGACATTGAACGTGCATTTGGAGTGTTGCAGGCTCGATTTAAAATTATTCGTGAACCAGCTCGCATGTGGGACATAACCGATTTGGCTATCATCATGAGGTCATGTATCATATTGCATAATATGATTGTTGAGGATGAACGAGAGACATATGCTCAACATTGGAATGATTATGATCAATCTGAGGCAAGTGGGTCTAGTACACAACAACCATTTTCGACCGAAGTGCTACCCGTATTTGCAAATCATGTGCATGCTAGATCCGATTTGCGTGATTCAAATGTACATCACGAACTTCAAGCAGATCTAGTCAAACACATATGGGCACAGAGGGGAATGTTCGGTGGTGAATGAGATTTATAAGTTTGTGAGTTGAGATTATTGTACTAATTAAGTTATGAGTATTTCCTTACTTGTATTGTGTGCTTATTGTATTGCATTTTAAGTTTCTCATCAATGTATGTGTTTTATTAACGACTATTTGTATTTCTCGTTTTTATTATTTATAAAATAAAATAAATTGCGTTTAGATAAAAATTATTTGGTTCAATTATTTCGACTTGTTGAATTGTACAAGAGATGATAAAATTATGACACGTGGCATTCATTAATTGGGTGAAAAAATTGCGTTTAGATAAAAATATAGATAAGAATACATGTTGTCGTTTTGAATTTTTCGTAATTTTACTTGTTTTAATAATGACTCTCTCTCTATTTTCGTTTTTCTTATTTACATTTTTAGTTAAAAACATAAAATTTAAATAAACTAAAAATAAAAAAATATTTAACTCTTAATTACGCTAATTAAAATTTAAGCGATAATCGTTATTAATACCCAATCGAAAAAACTAAAACATAAAAGAAATTAAAAATAATGAAATAAAAAGAAGTGGGGTAGGGTGTTGAATTTTATTAAACAAACCATTGTAGGGTGTAAAATTTTAGTGAATGTTGAATAATTAGGTGGAAGAGAGAGAAGATGATGTGGAAGAGAGAGATATGATGTGGAGGGTGTTGAATGTTGAAACCAATATACATAGTCTTAGAACTTTCTTTCACTTTTTGACCCTTTTCCACGTCGTTATCGACTTATCGCTCAAAACCCTAATTGCTCTCCGATCAACCTCCGGTTCCATTTCCGGTCACCCTCTTCTCAATTCCGATCTCCGATCGATTGCATTCTTCGGGTTCAGAAAGAAACATAGCATCGATCTCCGACCTTTTCCACGTCGTTTTCACTCAAAACTCTGATTGCTCTCGGATCAACCTCCGATTCCATTTCCGATCACCGTCCCTTTTGATTTCCGATCGAATTCCCTCCGTTTCGATTCCCTCTTCTCAATTCCGTTCGCAAAGATGGATAGCATCGAGGATATGGGACAGAACACCGTTGCTCTCTTGCCGGAACAACATCAAGAAATCGCTTCCGCTAGTAGTATCGAGGATATCGATAATTCAATTGGACAGGGCACTGTTTCTCTCTTGCCGGAACAAAAACCGCACGAACAACACCAAGAACTCGCTGCCGCTAATATTGATGCTTCTGGTAAGTTTGTCTCAATGTTCTCTCCTATGTTTGCTCATCTCGATGTACTGTGCTTTCTTTGTGTAATATGCCTAACTAGGAAGTAGCAAGAACCTAAGCAAACTATTTTGATTCATGTTATGAGTGTGTTCAGATAATCGGATGCTTCTACTATGTTTGTTTGCTCATGTCTTATGTACTGTGCTTTCTTTGTGTAATATGTCTAACTAGGAAGTAGCAAGAACCTAAGCAAACTATTTTAATTCATGTTATGAGTGTGTTCAGATAATCAGATGCTTCTACTATGTTTGTTTGCTCATGTCTTATGTCCTGTGTTGTCTTTGTGTAAAATGCCTAATTAGCAAGAACCTAACCAATCTATCCTAATTCATGTTAAATAGACATTGTTTAGTTAATATTATTTTCGTAATTTATTTAGTGCATATTCCCTAATTCCTTATGAATTTGTCTTTTTGTTTTGAGGATTTCTCATATTATCAAGTAAAGTTAAATGATGTGGATATAGACTGACTCATATTGTTACAATTTTGTTTCCATCTTGTCCACATTGAAATTAGAAAGTGTTATACACTCCTCCGATGGATGTAGATGATTTATTAAAATTCAATAATACACATATGAACATTTATTAAATATTATACTGTCACATATAATAAACAAAACTACAAATAGTATTTTATATTGCACATTATGCATAATTAATCTATATTTTAAAATAATTAAAATACTATATTTTCTAAAATTAAAACATAATTTTATATAATTTTAGTTAAACTTATAAAAATAAAAAGATTTTATTTTAGGACATAACACTTTAAATTCCAGCGGATAAATATAAATAATTTACTGAAAATTTTGGGTGAAAACGAGTTCTCTGATTGGATGTATTATTTCCTCCAGGATCGTGGGAAAGGAACGGTGAGGATGCAAAGTAAATCTAAAATCCAGTGGACCAGATCGCTTGAAAGAAAGACAAATCCCTAAATTTCTATTTTGTCAGCCTCTTATTAGACTATCTACAATGCAGGTGTTGAATTATTTATTCAACTGTTGAATCTCCACATTGCATCTGTTGAATAATTTAAAAACCTTACGTGGATTCAACTTGGTTGAAAGTATTCAACATGTTGAAAAGAAAATTTTTGGGTCCGTGCATGCCACGTGTCAATAAGTGAGTGGGAGGTGTGTTTCAAACTCGGGGAAAAGAGAGTGTACTCTCTAAAACCTTTTTTTTTTATTTCTTTTTTCGAAAAAAGAAGAAATTTTTTAGATGCTGACACTTGCTATATTTTCATTGGATATTGAGATTTTAGAGATTTTTATTTCATATTATCTATTTACAATCAATTATTACATACCAAACGAACTTTAAAAAAAAAAATATTTATATGAAAATTTATAACTTTTTAAACTCTATAAATAGAGACTTGGTTCATTTCATTTGGACACATAAAAAAAAAAACACAATTTCTACCATAATTTTCTTATTCTTCTCCCATAAACGCATGGTTATATCCTTAATTTTTTTTGAAATGGATTCTAATAATAATCCTATGCAAAATTCTACTAATTTTCCTTTTCCCTATCCAAATTTCAACAATAATCCTACGCAAAATTCTACTAATTACCCTTTTCCCTATCCAAATCCCAACAATTATCAATTTCAAAATCCATCTTTCAACCAACCTCAAAATTTCAAAATCCATCTTTCAACCAACCTCAAAATCCCTACGGCGTGGGAAGGTCAATTTACTCGAGGCGATAAGGGAACCACCACTGTTATTCTTGAAGCAGTGGCATCTCATGATCTATGGATCTGGCATGCTTTTTTTGGATGTCCCGACACCTTGAACGATATAAACGTTCTAGACCGTTCACCGGTTTTTGATGATGTTGAACAGGGAAATACTCCAAGAGTCAAATTCTTCGTGAACCAACGTCGATATGATATGGCATACTATCTAGCTGACGGTATTTATCCTTCTTATCCCACTTTCGTTAAATCGATTAGGCTGCCTCAAAGTGAACAAGACAAGTTATTTGCACAACGTCAGGAGGGATGTCGCAAGGACATTGAACGTGCATTTGGAGTGTTGCAGGCTCGATTTAAAATTATTCGTGAACCAGCTCGCATGTGGGACATAACCGATTTGGCTATCATCATGAGGTCATGTATCATATTGCATAATATGATTGTTGAGGATGAACGAGAGACATATGCTCAACATTGGAATGATTATGATCAATCTGAGGCAAGTGGGTCTAGTACACAACAACCATTTTCGACCGAAGTGCTACCCGTATTTGCAAATCATGTGCATGCTAGATCCGATTTGCGTGATTTAAATGTACATCACGAACTTCAAGCAGATCTAGTCAAACACATATGGGCACAGAGGGGAATGTTCGGTGGTGAATGAGATTTATAAGTTTGTGAGTTGAGATTATTGTACTAATTAAGTTATGAGTATTTCCTTACTTGTATTGTATGCTTATTGTATTGCATTTTAAGTTTCTCATCAATGTATGTGTTTTATTAACGACTATTTGTATTTCTCGTTTTTATTATTTATAAAATTAAATAAATTGCGTTTAGATAAAAATTATTTGGTTCAATTATTTCGACTTGTTGAATTATACAAGAGATGATAAAATTATGACACCTGGCATTCATTAATTGGGTGAAAAAATTGCGTTTAGATAAAAATATAGATAAGAATACATGTTGTTGTTTTGAATTTTTCGTAATTTTATTTGTTTTAATAATGACTCTCTCTCTATTTTCGTTTTTCTTATTTACATTTTTAGTTAAAAACATAAAATTTAAATAAACTAAAAATAAAAAAATATTTAACTCTTAATTACGCTAATTAAAATTTAAGCGATAATCGTTATTAATACCCAATCGGAAAAACAAAAACATAAAAGAAATTAAAAATAATGAAATAAAAAGAAGTGGGGTAGGGTGTTGAATTTTATTAAACAAACCATTGTAGGATGTAAAATTTTAGTGAATGTTGAATAATTAGGTGGAAGAGAGAGAAGATGATGTGGAAGAGAGAGATATGATGTGGAGGGTGTTGAATGTTGAAACCAATGTACATAGTCTTAGAACTTTCTTTCACTTTTTGACCCTTTTCCACGTCGTTATCGACTTATCGCTCAAAACCCTAATTGCTCTCCGATCAACCTCCGGTTCCATTTCCGGTCACCCTCTTCTCAATTCCGATCTCCGATCGATTGCATTCTTCGGGTTCAGAAAGAAACATAGCATCGATCTCCGACCTTTTCCACGTCGTTTTCACTCAAAACTCTGATTGCTCTCGGATCAACCTCCGGTTCCATTTCCGATCACCGTCCCTTTTGATTTCCGATCGAATTCCCTCCGTTTCGATTCCCTCTTCTCAATTCCGTTCGCAAAGATGGATAGCATCGAGGATATGGCACAGAACACCGTTGCTCTCTTGCCGGAACAACATCAAGAAATCGCTTCCGCTAGTAGTATCGAGGATATCGATAATTCAATTGGACAGGGCACTATTTCTCTCTTGCCGGAACAAAAACCGCACGAACAACACCAAGAACTCGCTGCCGCTAATATTGATGCTTCTGGTAAGTTTGTCCTGTGATTGCCTCAATGTTCTCTCCTATGTTTGCTCATCTCGATGTACTGTGCTTTCTTTGTGTAATATGCCTAACTAGGAAGTAGCAAGAACCTAAGCAAACTATTTTGATTCATGTTATGAGTGTGTTCAGATAATCGGATGCTTCTACTATGTTTGTTTGCTCATGTCTTATGTACTGTGCTTTCTTTGTGTAATATGCCTAACTAGGAAGTAGCAAGAACCTAAGCAAACTATTTTAATTCATGTTATGAGTGTGTTCAGATAATCAGATGCTTCTACTATGTTTGTTTGCTCATGTCTTATGTCCTGTGTTGTCTTTGTGTAAAATGCCTAATTAGCAAGAACCTAACCAATCTATCCTAATTCATGTTAATGAGTGTGTTCTTCTGGTTTGTTTGCTCC